TCCTCCGACAGAGGCCCCGTTGCAGACGCTTCACATGGACGTGTGGGGCCCAGCCCGCGTCCGTGGGCAGGGTCACGAGCGCTACTTCCTACTCGTTGTTGACGACTACTCGCGTTACACCGCAGTCTTCCCCTTGCGCAGCAAGGGTGATGTCACTGAGGTGCTGATCGACTGGATCCGCGCAGCTCGTCTCCAGCTCAGGCAGAGCTTTGGCTCCGACTTTCCTGTTCTGCGTCTGCACTCGGACAGAGGCGGGGAGTTCTCCTCTGGCCTTCTGCGAGCCTACTGTCGTGCACGAGGCATCCGTCAGACCTTCACACTTCCGAACTCTCCGCAGCAAAATGGGATTGCTGAGCGCCGCATTGGCATGGTCATGGACGTCGCTCGTACGTCTATGATGCATGCGGCTGCCCCCCATTTTCTGTGGCCGTTTGCGGTGAGGTACGCGGCGCATCAGATCAACCTTCACCCTAGGGTCTCCACGCCGGAGACCTCCCCGGCCTTGCTGTGGACGGGGAAGGTTGGCGATGCGTCGGCGTTCCGGGTCTGGGGATCTCGGGCGTTTGTCCGCGACTTGTCTGCGGACAAGCTGTCCCCTCGTGCTGCTCCTTGCGTCTTCCTGGGGTTCCCCCCCGACGCGCCTGGGTGGCAGTTCTACCACCCCACCTCTCGCCGTGTTCTGTCCTCCCAGGACGTCACATTCGACGAGTCGGTCCCCTACTACCGCCTCTTCCCCTACCGCACTCCGTCCCTCCCCCCGCCCCCGCTCTTCCTTGTACCAGGTCCCCCCCCGGTAGACCCCCTCCCCCCTCAGGGTCCTGCCCCTTCAGGTGTGTCCCAGGTAGACGCAGTCGAGCCTGTCGAGGTCACTGGTGACTCTGGTGCTGCTGAGGGTGCTGAGCCTAGGGGTGCTGAGACTGGGGGTGCTGAGCCTGGAGGTGCTGAGCCTGGGGGTGCTGAGTCTGGGGGTGCTACGCCTGGGGGTGCTGAGCCTGGGGGTGCTGAGCCTGGGGGTGCTGAGTGTGGGGGTGCTACGCCTGGGGGTGCTGGGTCTGGGGGTGCTGAGCCTGGAGGTCCTCCGCCTGGAGGTTCTCCGCGTGCTTCGTCTCGTCGGGAGCCACTCTCTCCACACGAGCTGCGCGAGTGGTTTGCCCGGCGCTGGAGCCGTGCTGCTGGTGCTGGAGGTTCTTCGGCTACTGAGGGTGCTGCTGTTGCGGGTCCCGGAGGTGCTCGTACTGGGAGTACTGGAGCTGCTGGGCCTGCAGGTTCGACTGGAGCTGGTGCTGCTGAGGGTGTTGGCGCTGCGGCTACCACTGGTGGAGCTGCTGGAGGTGCTGCTGGAGCGGGTGCTCCTACTGGGGGTACTAGTGCTGTCCCTGCTGTTTCTGGCGTCGCTACGCGGCCTCGACCGTACTTCGTTCCACTCCTGCAGCAGGTTCTTGGTCTTCCGCCTTCTGCTGGTCCTCCTCCTCCCTTGGAGGGTCCACAGCCTGTCCCGTCGCAGTCACAGCTACAGCCTACCTCCCCTTTGCCTGCTCCTTCTCCCTACACTGGTCCTACTGGAGGTCTTACTGAGCGTCGTGAGCCTGCGTCTCGCCCTGCGTCGCCTGTCCGTACTGCTCGCGCTAGTGGTCGTGGTTCGCGTCCGCGTCCTCCTCCTGTCCCTGGCACGCACCGGATGTCTCTGCGTCCGTCCACTGCTCCTCTGCGTGCCCCTTTGCCTTCTCCTCCTGAGTCCTCCCTTCCTGCTCTTCCCGACCCGGAGTCGGACTCTCTTTGTGCTGCCAGTCCTACTGTCACGCGTCTCCTTGCTACTGTCGTCACTGACCCTTCTTTCGAGTCTACTGCTGCGTCTGCCCTAGTTGCTGAGCTCGTCGACTTTGCTGCTCGCTGTCGCCTAGACTACGCTGCTAGTCTTGTTGCTGAGTCTGAGTCTGTCTGTCCTCCGTCCGTCGGGGGTGAGTGTGCCCTTGGCACGGACGTCCTTGAGGACAGGCAGGAGGAGTTCCAGTGTCTGGCAGCTGCTTCACCTCATCTCGTGTCCGTACTGCTTACCCCTGAGGGAGACCCGGATGCACTTGACATCCCGACTCCGCGCTCTTACGCGGAGGCGATAGAGGGTCCCTACTCCTCTCAGTGGCAGGCAGCTATGGATGTAGAGATGGCTTCCTGGATGTCCACAGGCACCTACGTTGACGCTGTCCCCCCTCCTGGGGCGAACATCGTCAGTGGCATGTGGATCTTCAGGGTGAAGCGGCCGCCGGGTTCTCTGCCTGTCTTCAAGGCTTGTTACGTGGCTCGTGGCTTCAGTCAGCGGCAGGGAGTTGACTACTTTCAGACCTTCTCCCCCACCCCGAAGATGACCACTCTTCGGGTACTGCTACACGTTGCTGCTCACCGTGACTATGAGCTGCACTCTCTCGACTTCAGCACTGCTTTCTTGCAGGGCAGCCTGCACGAGGAGATCTGGCTGCGCCGCCCACCTGGCTTCACTGGGTCTTTCCCTCCTGGTACCCAGTGGAGTCTCCGGCGTCCAGTCTACGGTCTCCGCCAGGCGCCACGTGAGTGGCACGACACACTGAGGACTACGCTTGCGGCTCTTGGGTTTGCTCCTTCTACTGCCGACCCGTCGCTGTTTGTGCGCACCGACACCTCTCTGCCGCCGTTCTACATCCTCGTGTACGTCGACGACTTAGTCTTTGCCACAGCTGACACTACTGGACTCGCCCACGTGAAGTCCGAGCTGCAGAAGAGACACACGTGCACAGACCTGGGTGAACTGCGCAGCTACCTTGGCTTGCAGATCACCCGGGACAGAGCACGCCACACCATTACCCTGACTCAGTCACACATGGTGCAGCAGGTCCTTCAGCGCTTCGGCTTCACGTACTCCTCGCCTCAGGCCACTCCTCTGCCTACTCGCCACTCACTCTCAGCTCTGCCTTCGGATGAGTCCGTAGAGTCGAGTGGCCCATATCCAGAGCTTGTTGGCTGCCTCATGTACCTGATGACCTGCACACGACCTGACCTTGCATACCCTCTTAGCATTCTTGCACGCTATGTTGCTCCTGGGAGACACCGACCAGAGCACATGGCTGCTGCGAAGAGGGTGTTGCGCTACTTGTGCAGTACGTCGGGCATGGGGCTAGTGCTTGGAGGGCGGAGTCCAGTGGTCCTCACTGGGCACGCGGACGCTTCTTGGGCTGACGACCAGGCTACGCAGCGGTCGTCACAGGGTTACACTTTCAGCCTCGGTTCCGGCTCTGTTTCGTGGCGGGCTACTCGCTCGTCTTCTGTTCTCGGCTCCAGTTGTGAGGCTGAGATCTACGCTGGGGCCATGGCTGCCCAGGAGCTTCGCTGGCTCGCCTACCTGCTGACCGACCTTGGAGAGCCGCCTCGTTCTCCTCCAGTCCTGTACGTAGACAACAAGGCCATGCTGGCCTTGTGTCGAGAGCAGAGACCGGAGCACAGAACTAAGCACATTGCTCTTCGCTACTTCCTTGCTCGTGAGCTACAGCAGCGTGGTCAGTTGCGGCTTGCGTACGTGGCCTCTGAGGCCAACACTGCTGATGTCTTCACCAAGGCTCTTCCGCCTTGTGATCATCAGCGCTTCTGCACTCAGCTGGGTCTTGTCCCTGTCTTGCCTCACTTGGTCACCCCTTGACCTTGCTTGTACTGTTATATATATATATACCTGCTCTTGCTTGTCTAGCCTTATCTATATATATATGTACTCCTGCATGTGAACTGGCCTTCTGGCCTTGAATTTGTGCTCAGAATGTGTGGTGACGTTGTGATCCACCCTGAGCTTGCCTTGCTTTGCTTTGCTTGACTGGTCTTGTGACCCCTTGTTCTCCCCCACTTTGCCTATGGGGGTGTGTCAGAACGTTATAGCTTATACTTTTGTGTAGGCTGTAGTGGGGTATCCCATAGGGGGTACAACCCAATTAGGGTTAGTACTTGTACCCACTTCATTCACAGTTCACTCACCCTTGTTTCTTCTCAAGATGTTTGTAGAGATTTAGACGCCGTTTCTGACCAGATTTAGGTGTAACTACCCTCTTCTTTTTGTTAAGAATTAAGGACAAAAGAGTATGATTGCACACTAGAATAAGACAAGAGTGAACAGTGGAACTGTAGCATATGAGGATGAGCTTGATAAAGAGAAACTTGTGTAAGGTGGAATGCTTGATGAGATATGAACTCAAAAGAGAAGGAGTGTGAGCTTGTTGAGAGAATAAGAGAGGTGATAAACACTTACTTAAGTGAATCTTACCAGGGATAGTTGTAGAGGTGACTTGAAAGAATGGCTTGGTCTTGGGAGCTTTACTTGAAGAAGAACATCGAGCTTAGAGTTGGGTGATGAGCCTTCCTCAAGCTTGTAGGTAGTAATGAACCTTATACTCAAGTAGAGTACGAGGTGACTATTCTTCACTTGATGCTTAGCTTTGTAAACTAATGAGAGAGACTTTGTGAGCATAAACTTATATTGAAAGAGGTATATTACATGCCTTATAGATCCATGAGGGATACATAAGCATGCATAGAGAGAGTAACCATCAATGGTAGCCTTGGAAGAGAGTTGCATAAGAGTATGAACTTTGGAGACATAGAACTTGGTTGCTAGTGAGGAGCCTTTGTAGTAGAAGAGGATCATTAAACCTATTTCTTTCATTAAACCTTAAACCCTAGACCCTGAGCATCAGTATGTGAGGTTTCCCTCCCTAAACCCTAAACGTCATTTCCTTCCCTAAACCATAAACATAATTTCCAACCCTAAAACCTAAACCCGAAACCTTAACCTCCCTCCCTTCCCTGACCCCTCCTCCATCCCCCTCCGTACCTATCCCATCAGAGTGAATTTCCCCTACTTCATGCCTCTTGCCGTCTCGGCTCTCATTCTTGTGTTTGCCACCGTCAGCATCAGCATTGAGGTATGCTGCTCACCGCACTGCACCACCGCATAACCTCTTATTACCAGAGCCCAGCTTCTCTACTTCATGCCGTTAATCGTCTCGGCTCTCGTTCTTGTGTTTGCCACCATCAGCATCAGCATTGAGGTATGCTGCCCAGCCCACTGCACCGCACCACACCACACCTCACCACACCGCACCGTATCCTCCTAGTACCCACCACCCCCCTCCCACCCTTGCTCCCTCTCTTCCCCCCTACCTCTCTTTCCCAGCTCTTTTTTCTAGGCTCCTTATAATTCTTCTCAATCCCCTAGTACCCCCCTTGCTCGCTATCTTTCCCTCCACCCTACTCCCTCTCTTCCTCCCCCTTTTACTCCCTTTCGCCCCCCCTACATTTCTTCCCCAGCTCTATCGTAGCACTGCCTTCTACAGCGGAAACATCTACCACTGATTACCGCGACCATTTATTACTGCAACCACTCATCACCGCACTGCACCACCCTTCCCCCCTCCAGCTCTATCGCAGCATTGCCTTCTACAGCGGAAACATCTACCACTCGCCAGACTTTGATTGGTCGCATGCCATGTCAGCACTGGTCGTCCACGCTGGCAAGCTGGATGAGGTGAGATTGGATGCGGTGAGATTGGATGCGGTGAGATTGGATGAGGTGAGATTGCTGGATGAGGTGAGAGAGGGCGCTGCATCCCTTAGGATGATGTGAGCCGTGATAGAGTGCTGCTGCCTACCCTGCTGGATGATGTCTGCTCATCTATCCCCTCCTTTACCTCCTTCGACCACATCCTCCTCTCGATATCATCTCTGTTTTCCTCTCTTCCCTTCTCTCCATGTTCTCCCCTTTCCCTCCATTCCCCTTTCCTCCCCCCTCCCAAAACCAGGCCAGCCTTGCCCTGAGTTCCGAGCCTATCGCCCGAGCCTACGTGTTCCCGCACCTGGAGAACATGCTGAAGCTGCCCTTATGGAAGCCCCTCCCCCAGTTCCCACCTCACGACGCCGTGCCCCTGGACTGGCTGCTCTACTTCGCGTCCTTCGGCCGCATCCTCCTCTGGAACATCATCTTCTTTCTCCCCGCACTCATCCTCTCGTTACTGTCACACAGCGTGGCGCCGCTGGTGATAGGCGCGGTGAGGAACGTGATTGTGGTGATCAGCTTCGGGCTGGCTCAGAACGAGCTCAGCTTTGCGCATGTCTTCATGGATGAGGTGTTGGACCTGGGGCTGTCATCTCAGCACGTGGAGCATTGGAACGTGCAGGTGAGCGACGGTTGGGTGGGGTGGGTGGGTGGTGGGTGGGTGGGTGGGTAGGTGGGTGGGGGAATGGGGGTTCTGGACTCTCGACGTGGGGCTGTCGTCCCAGCACGTGGAGCACTGGAACATGCAAGTGAGGGAACGGATAGGGGTGTAAGGGCAGAACGAGCTCAGCTTTGCATGTGTTCACTTATGCATGAGGTGCTGCACCTGGGGCTCTTCTTCCAGCACGTGGAGCACTAGAACGTGCAGGTGAGGGGGTGGGGTACGGGACCCTTGCGGCAGAACGCAGGTAGTTGGTGTGTGGTGCTCATTGCATGTCTTCATGGACGAGATTCTCGACCTGGGGCTATCGTCCCAAACGTGGAGCACTGGAACGTGCAGGTGAGAGACGGTTGGGTGGGGTGGGTGGGTGGGTGGGTGCACGCGCGTGTGCGTGCGTGTGTGCTGCTCATGTGTTCATTTACACACCAGGTGTCGGACCTGGCCCAGAAACTGCTTGCTCTGGCCCAAGAGCCGGTCTCTACAGGGGTGGCTGATGGCGGGGTTTGAACATAAAACGACAACTTCGACCCTTCGTGCACCTTCCTTGCCTCTTCTTCCCCTCTCCCCTTTCCACCCCCCCCCCCCTTCCCTCCCCCTTGTTCTTCTCCCAGAAACTGCTTGCTTTGGCCAAGACCCGTTCGCTGCAGGGGGAGCTGATGGCGGGGTATGAGGATGACACCTGTGACATGGGGGAGGCGGTATTTGAGGAGGGTTTACTCGAAAAGGGATCACTCGGGGAGGGGTTACTTAGGAAGGGGGCACTTGGAGGGGAGGAGGGGATGAAGGGTGAGAGTGAAGGAAATGGTAAGGGTGTTGAAGGGGATGGGGAGGGGGAAGGGTGGATGAATGGGCGAGGGGTGGAGCAGGGAGGGTCTGGAGTGGTTGGAGTAGGTGGGGAGGGGTTGGCAGGACATGAGGTGCCAGAGAGTGTGGGAGCAGCACAAGTAGCACCACAGCAGACATCTGCTGCAACAAGGGCAGCGGCTGTAGCAGGTACAGAGGTTGTAGCAGGTACACTGGCTGTAGCAGGGGGTACTGGGGCAGGGGAGGATAAGGACAAAGATAGCCGCTACCGCCCGAGTCTCGCCCCGTGCTTGAGCAACTCTGCTGGCCAATGGCAGCGCAGCGCAAGCAGGCTGCGTCGGCGAGTTACATTCAAGAGCGCGAGGACGTTCGGAGGCGACACCCGGGGAGATGAAACCCACGGAGATGAAACCCGCGGAGACATAACCAGCGGAGATGTAACCCGTGGAGGTGTAACGGCTGTGGCAACATGCCACACTCCTGATCTTCCTCTGCTGCCACTCAGCGAAAGCCGAGGGTCTTCCTCTAATCCCTCCCATTCTTACAACACCCCATCGTGGCCGCAAGGGGAAGGGCAAGGCGGAGGAAGGGCGAAGAATGGAGATGATGGTAAGGAGGGGAAGCACGGGGAAGTTGAATTGTCGGGAGGTGGGATGGAGAAGGCAAGGGAGAGTGAGGTGAAAGGGAAGACGCGTGGAGAGGAGCAACTACCATACGAGTATTCATGGGACGATAAGGAGCTGGATGAAGCTGCAGCTAAGTGCCTCACTTACAGCTGTCTCGAGCCGGAAATCAACAAGATGTGGAAAAACCCGCGGCTTACCCCCCAGCAGTTTGTTAGGCAGATTAAGGAGCTATGTGTGATGATTGAGGACCGGTTTAAAGAGCTCACGGGTAAGTTTGACCTGAACCACGTGTCAGAAGTAGTAGGAGTACGGCCTAGGCTTAGTAGCCTAGGCCACAGTAGGACTAGTAACGAGGAGCCAAGTACGAGCTAGGATTGTGTGCAGGAACAGAATTGAGAAGGAATGATTGAACTAGCAAGCAGCAGGATACAAATAGCAAACCCTAAGGGGCTGTACTCACTATAGAGTACCCCACTGCAGGCTACACAAACAACATATTCTGACACACCCCCATAGCCAAAGTGGGGTGTAATCAGCACAATGAGCAGTCATAGCAATAGTTCATAATTATCAGCAAAGCTAGAGGCTATCACAGAGGGCAAGTGAGGAGGAGGAGGGACTATGAAAGGAGAGAAGATGGGAGGCGACGACTGAAGCTGCAGACACACGGGCAACAGAAGCGGCTGACACAGTGGCGGCTGACACAGTGGCTACCGAGACAGAGCGCCCCGGAATACTGGAGTAACTGGCTCTGCGGCTACGACGAGCGGCAGAAGCAACGGACCCACGGGCGACTGGTGCAGCAGGCTCTCAGTGGCTACCGAGACAGTGCGTCCCGGAATACAGGAGTAACAGGCTCTGCGGCTGCGACAAGCGGCAGGAGCAACGGACCCACGGGCAACAGGTGCAGCAGGCTCTCTGAGCTACCAGGACAGTGCGCCCCGGACTACAGGTGCTGCGGACGACAAGACAGCAGCCTCCACTCAACCTCCCCCAACAGTCCCACACCCCTCTCACACACCCCCTGCTTCACCCCTAGCTCCACTCCCACATCACCCCCCTAGTGCCACTCCCCACGACTCCCACACCTCCACCCCCCTCAGCGGCAGCTGCAGCAGTGGGAGACGAAAAAGGAGGAGGGGAGAACCCACACCTCTCACCCCCATGCTCACCACCCCACACCGCAGCCACCGCGGAACGCACGGTGGAATGGGAGCAATGGGCAGCACCGGGGGGGGGGGGGGACGGGGCGGGCTTCTGCAGAGGCGGCTTGCGCGGGTCCTGGGGCGGCTGCTGCAGGTGCGGGCTGCTCCAGGGGCGGCTGCTGCAGGTGCGGGCTGCTCCAGGGGCGGCTGCTGCACTGGCGGGCGGCTCCAGGGGCGGCTGCTGCAGGTGCGGGCGGCTCCAGGGGCTGCTGCTGCAGTGGCGGGCGGCTCCAGGGGCGGCCGCGGGGGGGGGAAACGCACGGCCCCCAGGGCGCCCCGAGGGGCGACGAGAAGGGAGCCGCGCGCCCCCCCCCGGGGCGCCGCGACGGGCACCAGGGAGGGCGCCGCGACGGGCCCCCAGAGCCACCTCGACGGGCGACGGGGAGGGCGCCGCGCGGGCCCCCCGAAGTCGCCTCGACGGGCGACGGGGAGGGCCGCGCACGGCCCCCGAAGTCGCCACGACGGGCGACGGGGAGGGCGCCGCGCACGGCCCCCGAAGTCGCCTCGACGGGCGACGGGAGGGGACCGCGCGCGGCCCCCGTGGTCGCCACGACGGGCGACTGGTGGGGAGGCCGCGCGGGCCCCCAAGGTCGCCTCGACGGGCGACGGGAGGGGAGGCCGCGCGGGTCCCCGAGGTCGCCTCGACGGGCGACGGGGGGGGAGGCCGCGCGGGTCCCCGAGAGCGCCTCGACGGGCGCTTCGACGGGAGGGGACCGCGGAGGCCCCCCCAAGGGCACCACGACGGGCGCCACGGAAGGGAAAACCGCCAGGCGCCCCGAGCGCGCGGCGGGCAGAAAATTAGGGTTTCGCCGCCGCGCACCACGGGGCGCGCGGCGGACAGTACGGCAGCGGAAGCGGGTGGTGGGCCCATACACAGGAAGGCGGCAGACATGCCGCCCTCTGATACCATGTCAGAAGTAGTAGGAGTACGGCCTAGGCTTAGTAGCCTAGGCCACAGTAGGACTAGTAACGAGGAGCCAAGTACGAGCTAGGATTGTGTGCAGGAACAGAATTGAGAAGGAATGATTGAACTAGCAAGCAGCAGGATACAAATAGCAAACCCTAAGGGGCTGTACTCACTATAGAGTACCCCACTGCAGGCTACACAAACAACATATTCTGACACCACGGGGCGTATTTTAGGGATCCACGGATTTTGGGGGTGGTTGCACATTTTCTGGAGTTCCGGGAGCTTCCGGAGTGGTCCAGAGCGATTAATGCTGATGTGTTGAGGGCTGATCGCATGGTGCATTCGGGCTAAGGGCTTGTGAGTTGGCCACGAACCCGTGAGAGTACGTCTAGCTAGGTTTGTAGGCTATATTTTCTTTTAGCTTGTCAATATGCAAGTTAGGGATGCATGTACATAGCAGGGTTTTGTAAGGACTGCATAGGCTCCTAGAGAACATTTTATGTGAACTATGATTTGCAGGCTAAATACGGTTGCATTGTATGTTTAAATCAAGCATATACTCAGGTTATTTGTAGGCATGAAAGGGTGTCATTGTTTCATTGGTAAAATTGTTTACGTGTCTACAATAGTTGTATAGATTATGCTTGAGTGTACGCGTTTCATTCCTGGCGCAGTCGAGGATGCCGCGGGCAGTCTGACATCACACCACACCACCACCAACACCGACCTGCCTAAGCGCGACACTCTCCGTGCACTTTACCACTTTTCGAGCCACCGTCAGTGACACGCAAGCCGATTCCGCTTCTCCCAGAATCTTGCACCAAATGCCGTTGGACAGATCCTGAAAATAGCCAGCCGTCGACGTGGCAGCAGGTTACAAGCTCACGCCACGTCATTTCAGGCAAGTCTCGAGGCCTCAGTCCACTCTCGTGAAACTTCCAGGACTTTGTATGCTGGCGCGGTGTGGCTGGTTGTTGAATGAACAACTGCGGCAGCCTCACTTCAGCCGAGGTGCTGCTGCATTTCCATATTTCTCACTCAACAGAGAGTCAACAAAGCATTTATCTCTCTCGCACTTACAAAATTTCCAGTTTTCTTGACATTGTTGTTTCCAGTTCTGGCTGTCCGACAACTGTCTCTGGTGCAACCTCCTTATCGAAACCATACCATTCTTCCACAGCTTCTGCTTGCTTATCGAGTTCACTTCTTGCTGCCTTCGTACTGCTGCTGCCATGGCTTTCACGGCACTCAGCAGCCCTGCTACGCAAGCGATCGGCGTATCCCGTGCCTATCCGTCCGGAACCTCTAGCCAGCCTACTAGAAGCGTGGAACCTCGCTCAAAAGGCGTGATTCGCAGGAATCGCATCGCATTGAAGAGCCATTACTTGGGTTCGCGCCAGGCGCTGACGGCGAACGGTGGCTCCCTTTCCCGTCCCCTTTTTGCGCGATGTGGATCGACACAAAACGGCAATTCTCAACGCTGGAGGTACAGTTTTCGCATTCCGTTTTGCATTTCGTGACAAGAATCCAACAATCAGTTTCTCCTTAGTTCGACGTCTTCTGCATTCCTCATTCGTTCCGCTTTCTCCTTCTCCCGCCACCGTCATTTATTCTCAAAATTCGCTGCTCTCTTTCCTTCCTAGGTGTGAGGCAAGAACCAGCGGAAGCGCTAAACCGGAAATCCCGGAGAAAGAGAACCAAGAAAAAGCCGCAGATCCCGCCGTGTCCAACGGTTCGGCGTCTTCTGCTTCAACTAAGCCCAAGCTGATCGCATACGACTACGGCTTTCAGGTACAATCTTTTCCAAGATAGTGGCGTCTCTCTGACAATCCGTTTGCTCCGGTAATCTCCTTCGCTCCACCCCCTCTCGCCGTCGATCTCACCATAGAAATCTAAGTTTCTTTGCACAGCGTTCCAACGTCCCTCCCAACCCCCTTGACGCGTGTGAAAATGTTTCAAGTGTACTGGACGTTTTCTTCCTCCCCCTGGCCCCTCCGCGCCTCTTCGTCCTGCCTCTCGGTCGCAGTCCAAGTTTCTCCGCACGGGGCTCAACGTCCCTGGTAACATCTTCAAGCTCGCGTTCGAGAATTTCGCCCGCGAGTACTCGGTAAGCACGTCAGCATGCCACGTCATTATTCCAGATCCCAGCATGCCAAGTGTCAGCATGCCACACGCCACGCCGTAAGGAAAACACCTTCGTTTTTTCCAATCGAATTTAAACTTCACGCCTGTACCTGCGTCCTTCGGTTCTTTCGCAATTCTGTGTTTCCCATCGCAAGCCTTCTCCGCTCTCGGGTTTCACCATTGCATCCTTGTCCAGGCCCTTTCGCTAGCAACGTACTTGAACTCGCGGATTTTCCATGTTTTCTCCCATTCACGTGCAGGCCCTTCGTAGCAACGTTCTCTACGAGGAACTCAGCGACGTCCGAAGTAAGTGCAGCTCTTTCACTGTTCGGCTCACTCTATAGAGTGACGCGTTACATCTCGGGTCAATCCCTCCCTAGCCTTTACTCCGCACTGATGCATGGTCTTTTTGCTCAAAATGACTCAGTTTTTTCTCAATCTCCCCAGCCGACAACATCAAGAGAGACGGCAGGCAGCTCGCACTGGCGTACGCGGGTCGATTCCTCGTCTCAACGCTCAAGTTCTTTGACAAGCTCCTCACGATCTACGACGGTCTTCCCGAGATCAAGCCCCCCCCTGCTGTAAGCCTTCCTTTCTTCATATACGTGACTTGCATGTCACGTTAAAATCTTGGTGTTTCGGGCTCCGAGTTCCTTCCTCGTTGCTTCCTCATCTCAATGCTTAAGCTCTTTGACGCTGATCAACGTCACGTGGGGAGCTCTCACAAGTTTTAAGTTCCTTCCCTTCACCCCCTTTCCTGTTCCTGCTATACCAAAACAGATGCCTGAGGAGAGTGAGGCGCTGAGGAAACGGCTGCAGCAGCTGACGCTGAGCAACGAGGCAGTGTTCTCTCAAAGTTCGCACTAATGTCATCCTCCCTCTTTTCCTTCCACCCTCACAGATGCCTGAGGAGAGTGAGGCGCTGAGGAAACGGCTGCAGCAGCTGACGCTGAGCAACGAGGCAGTGACTAAGAGGGAGGAGGACCGGCCTCAGGTGGAGGCGCCTGGATGGATTCTCCTCCCCTACAAGCTGCTGTGCTGGGTGCGTGGGGTGTGGCTTGGTGCAGTTAGGTGCAGTTGGGTGCTGCTTGAGGGTACGTGATGGACAAAGCACGATGTGTGAGAGGAGAGAAGGAGGAGGACCGGCCTGAGGTGGAGGCCCCCAGGTAGATCCTGCTCCCCTACAAGCTGCTGTGCTGGGACAGTTGGGTCTATGAGTGGGGGAGGGTCTATGAGTGGGGGATGCATGTGACAGCAGTGTGAGTGAGGGGGGCGGTAGGTACTAAGAGTACAGGGTTCAAATGTCAGACAGGAGGTCCGGCCCCTAGTGGAGGTGCTGGGGTGGATCCTGCTGCCGTACAAGCTGCTGTGCTGGGTGAGTGGAGTTCTGCTAGTGGGTTCTTCATGGTTGAAGAGAGAGTGGGAGCTGGAGAGAGGGAGAAGGACCTGTCTCAGGTGGCGGCGCCTGGGTTGATCCTGCTGCCGTACAAGCTGCTGTGCTGGGTGAGCGGCGGAAGCAGTGTTGAAAAGTGTCTTTCGAGTAGATTCAATGAGTCACCTTGGGGAGGGGAGAAGGACCGGCGGACTCAGGCGGAGGCGCTCGGGTGGATCCTGCTTCCATACAAGCTGCTGTGCTGGGTGAGCTGGTATGTGCAGGAGAAGCAGTGGGAGGTTAGATCGTATGTGCCTGGCTTGTGCAAAACAAGTGTCAAGTAAACTCTCTATTGAGAACGCCAAGAAACGGGCTAGTGTTTTTCAGGGCTATGAAACATCAATTCCACTTCTCCCTTTCCCTCCCGTCCCATCCGTCAGATGCTCGATGTCATCTTCAACAACCGCCCCATCCAACGGTTCTGGTTCCTCGAGACGGTCGCACGCATGCCCTACTTCTCGTGAGTGCCATGTCATCCAACGGTTCAGATTCCTCAACCATGTTCAGCATTCCTACAACCCTTCATGGGCTGGACTGAACTAAGGGTCATGTCCTTACATGCTAATGCTGTAAAAAAACTAACTAACTCAATCAATACCACCACATACGCTTTATAAAGTCCCCCTCTCTCTCCGCCCTCCGCGCGCGTGTTTTTTTAGATTGTTTTTCATGTCCTCTCTGTGCATCTGCCGTCCTCGTACTCATTTGTTTCCCTTTTCTACCCTTCCGTTCCTCGTTATCTCTTGCAGCTACATCTCCATGCTTCACCTTTACGAGACCCTGGGCTGGTAAGTTGCTGGGAAACGAGGTGCTGAGCAACGGAATGCTAAAACGGCCGCTCATGTATTTTTTTTCAATTTCCACAATCTTCAAAGTCCGCCTTCCCAGAAAATCTCCTCATTACTGTTGAGGTGTCCTTTACGAACATACTTCTCCACGCCCTTACTCTATACTCCCTCCCCCGCCCGTTTCGAACCTCAGGCGGAGGGTTGGCGCGGAGGTTCGGAAGGTGCATTTCGTGGAGACGTGGAACGAGATGAACCACCTGAAGATCATGGAGTCCCTCGGTGGGGACCGCCTCTGGGTCGACCGCTTCTTTGCCTCCTTGCAGAGTCCCACCTCAGAGCCTGATTTTCTAGCTTTATTTCTCACCTCCCTGCTTGCCACTGTCCCGTACCTCAGGTGGAGGGTCAGCGCGGAGGTTCGGAAGGTTCACTTTGCGGAGGAGTGGAACGAGATGAACCAACTCAAGATCATGGAGTCGCTCGGCGGGGACCGGCTCTGGGAAGACCAGTTCTCTTCATTCTTGCAAAATTTCTCCTCGGGTTGCCTAACTTCATCCCCCACCCCCCACCCCTGCTTGCCGCTGTCCCGTGCCATTCCCGTCATGTCATTCGTATCTCAGGTGGAGGGTCGGCGCGGAGGTTCGGAAGGTCCATTTCGCGGAGGAGTGGAACGAGATGAACCACCTCAAGATCATGGAGTCTCTTGGCGGGGACCGCCTCTGGGTGGACCGCTTCTTTGCACAGCACGCCGCCTTCCTCTACTATTGGGTCCTAAACTTCATGTTCTTGATTTCCCCGCGCACCGCGTACAACTTCTCGGAGTTGATAGAGGCCCATGCGGTGGACACGTACGGCGAGTTTGTCGATGAGAATGCGGAGCTGCTCAAGACTCTGCCACCGTCCCCAGCAGCTATCGCTTACTACAACAGTGATGATCTGTACATGTGAGTTCAACAGGGGGTCTCCCATGTGGGTGGGTGGTTCAAAAGCAAGTTTAGCTCATAGAGGCTCATGCGGTGGACACGTACGGGGAATTTGTGGACGAGAATGCGGAGCTGCCCAAGACGCTGCCACCGTCCCCAGCAGCGATTGCTTATTACAACAGCGACGACTTGTACATGTGAGTGGCTTGAGACATGTGGAGAGCTTAGAGGCGCATGTGGTGGATACATACGGCGAGTTTGTGGATGAGAATGCGGAGCTGCTCAAGACGCTGCCGCCTTCCCCAGTGGCGATTGCTTACTACAACAGTGACGACCTGTACATGTGAGTCAGAGGGACGAGAAGGGGAGGGGCTAATAGAGGTTCATGCGGTGGAGTGGACACGTATGGCGAGTTTGGGGATGAGAATGCGGAGCTTCTGAAGACTCTGCCGCCTTCCCCGGCAGCTATTGCCTATTACAACAGTGACGATCTGTACATGTGAGTTGCTTGAGACTGACATGTGGTAAGTTGATCGAGGCTCATGCGGTGTACACATATGGGGAGTTCGAGGATGAGAATGCAGAGCTGCTGCTGCGTGCCCAGCAGCAATGCCTACTACAACAGCGATGACCTTTACATGTGAGTCAGGGGGTTGGGATGCTGGGGGCAAGGGGGTGCGGGGTACACGGCCGTGTGTGCTTGCTGTTTGCATGTGAGGGGAGTTGAGTTGAGAGGGAGGGTAGATGTATGTGGTGTCAGTCGGGAGCTGGTAGAGGCCCATGCATGCAGTGGACACGTACGAGGAGTGTGTGGATGAAAATGCCGGGGAGCTGCTGAAAACTCTGCCTCCCTCCCCAGCAGCTATCGCATACTACAACAGTGATGACCTTTATACGTGAGTTTATGGGGACGAGACGTGGAGGAGGGGGGAGGGAGAGGGGGGAGTGGGGGGAAAGCAGAGGGGTGGGGGACGTGCATGTGTGTGCTTGCACGTGATGCGAGTGCTCCCCCTTATTCTCCAGTGTCTGACATCCCTAACAAATTTCGCCCCCTTTCCATTTTCTTGTCCAGGTTCGACGAATTTCAGACGTCACGAGTACCTGAGTCCCGGCGACCCAAGATTGAGAGTCTGTACGATGTCTTCTGTGCCATCAGGGTGTGTATAGACTGCTCAACTTTGCATTTTTTTATCCTACACTGCCAATATGCATTATTTTTTATCACTGCTTCGATCTCCAAGGACCTTCCAAAGTTTCTCCTTAGTTCCCTTTCCATCATTACCGTGTCTCTCACCGTTCCTTATTCCTTTCGCTCATTCTCAGATTTCCTGTTCAAATCCTTTCCCCCTCTACCTTCACACCAGAGCAGCAATTGGAGCACGTGGTGAAACTTCTTCCCCTCATACCTCTCTTTTCACGTCTCTTAGCTCTTTCCCTACCAACCAACCCTTCTTTTCCCCGACGAAATATATTCTTCCAACTCTCCCCCCACATGAGGACCACAATATGTAGCACGTGAGTACAAGTGCCTTCCTATTGTTATCTCACTTCTCATTCTCCATGCTCGCCCCCCACCTTCCCCCCAATCCCCTCACATCAGGACGACGAGATGGAGCATGTGAAGACAATGTCTGCCTGCCATTGTTACCTCGTTCCTCATTGTGTTCATCCCCCTCTCCCTCCCCCGCCTCCTCCCCACATCAGGACGACGAGATGGAGCATGTGAAGACAATGTCTGCCTGCCATTGTTACCTCGTTCCTCATTGTGTTCATCCCCCTCTCCCTCCCCCGCCTCCTCCCCACATCAGGACGATGAGATGGAGCATGTGAAGACAATGTCTGCCTGCCAGCAGCTCGACTCCGTTGTCCGCTCGCCCAATCGCCCAGGCTACGCCCCTCTGCCCTCCCCCGCTGACGTGTACTTCGAAGGCCTAGTGGCGAAAACCTCATCCGCCACGTCAGCTTCGGGTGGTGCTAAGGTGACACCCTCTTCAGCGGCGTCAGCATTCAGTGCAGCTGTTGGGGAAGCGAATCTGCCCAAGGATGTTCTTCCTCAGGCACTCAAGTCACAAGGAGAGTCCCTCAAGTGATGGGATGTGAATTTTGGCCCTGATACGGAGCACACATACAATTGTGTATGTAAATATTAAGGTTTTTTTTTTAGCATGATTATTATTGTCTATTAGGCATATTGCATGTGTATGTGTGTGTGTGTGTCTAAATAGTTGTATAATGGTATATGGTTTTGCGTGTTTTTGAATGTTCATGCTGTACTATCTGTTTTTAAATCATGGAGAATCGCATCATCCGTTTAACAGTGTGAGAAGAACTAGAGAGAAGTGGGAAAAGACTAAGATGATTTTTTTTTTTTTTTTTTTTCCAATGCAACCGTCGATGAGAATTTAATACAGCATGTAATTACAAGGCTCAGGGAGAGGTAACAGAAGGAAAAAAAGGGGGAAGAGAAAGAGATGAATAGAAAGGGTAGGGAGAAGGAAAGTGAAAAAGGGAAAAAGAGGCAGAGGAAGTTGAAAGAAAGGGACAAGGAAAGGGAAAATGAATGTGCACCCCCAAAAGACTCTAAAGACACCACACAAGGAACCCCATCAAGACAACACATCAAGACACCCAAACAAAACACCATATCTGAAAATTCCCCACCCCCCAACCCCTCCCCTAGACCCGCATATCAACCAAGTAGGGCGCATCCACCCACGGAACATCCCACCCAACATCATCCTCCATGTCTTCCCGCTCAACCCAAACGACATCTGGACCTCTCATCATCGACGCCGCACGTAGCAAGATCACCCGAGCCTGAGCGCGCTGCAGAGCCACTGTCAAATGTTGTAGTCTTAGTGATGTGTGTTATAGGGGGTACAACTATTAGGGTTAGGTTAATGTACCCCAACCAATCTTAGTCAGACCAACACTTTCATTCTTGACATGGTATCAGCTAGGTTAGGATCCTGTGGGATCCGGTTCCTCTCGTTCACGTCCGTAGCGCCCGAGCCTGTCCCGTACCCTAGTGCCCGTTACGCCCGTACGGTCCCCTAGCGCCTATCGCGCTCGTCTCTCTCGTGCCCTAGCGCCCGCTGCGCTTGCCGTCGCGTCGCCCCTGCTGTCCCGTCCCGTCCTGTCGCCCCTGCTGTCCCGTCCCGTCGCGTCGCCCCTGCTGTCACGTCCCGTCCCGTCACCCCATGCTGTCCCGTCGCGTCGCACCTGCTGTCCCGTCCCGTCCCGTCGCCCGTGCTGTCCCGTCGCGTCGCCCCCTGCTGTCCCATCGCGTCGCGCCTGTCCCTGCTGTCCCGCCGCGTCGCGCCGTTCGTCCCGTCCCGTCCCGTCCGCGTCGCGCTTCCCGTCCCGTCCCGTCGCACGCGCCCCGTGCGCCCTGCCCGTCCGTTGCGCCCCGTGCGCCCTGCCCGTCCGTCGCGCCCTGTGCGCCCTGCCCGTCCGTCGCGCCCCTGCTGCGCCCTGCCCGTCCGTCGCGCCCCGTGCGCCCTGCCCGTCCGTCGCGCCCCCGCTGCGCCCTGCCCGTCCGTCGCGCCCCGTGCGCCCTACCTTTCCGCACCTGTCGCGCCCGTCCCTGCCAGTTGCGTCCTGTCCCGTCGCGCCGCACTGTCTGTCACGCCCTACGCAGGCCCTTTAGGCGTTTAGGGTTTCGGCAACAGCGGTTACCACCTCTTAGCTTCTGCTATGGCGACCCCTAGGGTCCTGCGTTTTGACGCCGAGGGTAGGCCGCTTGAGTTCACCGTCTGGCTCCTGCGTGCGCGCCGCTTTTTAGAGAGTCAGGTTCAGGCAGATGAGTCTCTATGGGCACACGCTTCTGGAGACCTTCCTAAGCCCGACGACCCGGCACCCTTAGCAGCTGACCCCACACCTGCAGACAGTGACCGTTATGCACGCGAGCGTGCTGACGTGACCGCGTGGAAGTCGCGTGACGCTGCGGCCTGCATCGCCCTCAGTAGCCTCCTCCCTGAGTCTGAGGAGACCCACTTCACTCAGGTTCGCACGGCTAGTGAGTTCCTGACTGCGATCAAGGCCCGCTACGCTACTCCCACCACTGTCTCTCTTGGTCGCCTGTTCCTTCCGTTCCTGTTTCCTGACCTCGCCTCGTTTGAGCGCACTGCTGACTTGATCACTCATCTGCGCTCGCTCAATTCTAGCTACCGCGCTGCTTGCACTGACGCACAGCTTGCACTGCTCCCTCCCCCCATGGCGATTACTATCTATTTCATCGCCACTAGCCTCCCTGACCGCCTTGCCTCGGTTCGTGACGCACTTCTTCTGAAGCACCCTAGCGAGCTCACTATCGAGGTCCTTGAGTCGGCCCTCAAGGACGTCGAGAGCAACCTCCGCTCGGTAGCATCTGCCTCTGGTGCTGTGCCCCCTCCACTGTTTCACGGGTGCACTGTCCCTCAGCTGCCCACCTTTACTGCCTCCCTCGCCACTGCCGCTACTGACGTGACCGCAGCTGCTGTTACGACTTCTTCGCGGTCTCGGGGTAGGAGTGGCAGGAGGGGCGGGCAGGGTGCGGGCGGAGGCGGCGGAGGCGGCGACGTGGCGACGGCGACGATGGGAGTGCAGGGGCTGGAGGAGCGTCTCGTACAGCGGCCGGTGACTCCCCTGCTGCAGCTGGTGGAGGTGACGCCCGGGTTCGTCAGCCACCTACTGGTCTGCCAGCCGCAGGGGGTGGAAAGCGGCGTGGTACCTGACTCAGCGACAGCAGCAGCAGCAGCAGCAGCAGCCCCTCCCCTCGCAGCAGCCACAACAGCAGCAGCGGCAACAGCAGGTTTCGAGGCAGGGGTCAGGACATCGTCAGCTGCAGCGCGGTGTCGTCCACTCTCCCTGCACCTATCACGTTCTGACACGTGCCCGCCGCGGCCAGCCTTGTGGCCGCAGCCACCCAGCAGGTCAGTGCTTTGCTCAGCTTACTGACACGGTTCGGTTGGCCTACGGCATTGACGGCCCTGCCCCTGACTGGCTTCCCCTTGTTCAGACGTACGGCCCCGCTCTGTGGGGCATGTCGGCTTCTCAGTTGGTTGATCTCTTAGGAACTCCTCATGCTATGTATGCTGTTGTTGACTCTACTGCTTCTGACTCTGTTTACTCGAGTGTTGTTAGCTTAGGTGCTAGTCTTGCTGAGGTGCCTGTTGCTAGTGTAGGTACTTGTGTAGACACTAGTCCAGGAGCTGCTCCGGAGGACGCTTCGCTGTCTTTCACTCTGGACTCCGGAGCTTCGCACTGTTTCTTCCGCGACCGCACGACACTTACCCCGCTTCCTACGCCGGTCTCTGTAACACTGGCTGATCCCACTTCGGGACCAGTCACTGCTTGCTACACTACTACGCTTCCGTGCCCGACTGTTCCCTCCGGTTCTCCGACCGGCTTCCACGTCCCCTCGTTCTCGAGGAACTTGGTGGGCGTGAGGCCGCTCGTGAGTCAGCACGTGGGTGTGTGGATTGAGCCTTCTGGCGAGACTGCGGTTTGTGTCGACGGGGACACGTACGCGCCTCTCGCCACCTTTACCGCTGAGCTGGGCTCTGGTCTCTACACACTTCACACTGGTCCCCGAGGGCAGCAGCAGCAGCAGCAGCAGCAGCAGCAGCAGCAGCAGCAGCGGCAGCAGTAGCAGCAGCAGCTACTGCCCCCGACCCCTGTCACTGCCCCCCGTCAGGTTCCAGCGTCTCACCAGGCTGCCGCGTCTCCCCAGGTAGCTGTGTCTAGTCAGGTTCCGGTGTCTGGTCCAGTTGCTGCGTCGTGCTCCTGCCGGTCACTTGCCCACCCCACTGTTTTGTGGCACCACCGGATGGGGCACCCGTCCATTTCTCGCATGCGCGCTATGTCTAGTCAGCGTCTTGTCTTAGGCCTCCCGCGAGTCTTGCCGTCGCTGCCGCCTTCGCTTGCACCACCTTGCGGTCCCTGCGTCGAGGGTCGGCTGCGCGCCACCCCTCACTCCTCCTCCCTTCGTCCGGCCACCAAGCCCTTCGAGACTCTCCACTTGGACGTCTGGGGCCCCGCCTCGCGCCCTGGCCCTGAGCGAGAGAGTTTCTTTCTCGTGGCCGTTGACGACTACTCCCGCTACACCACAGTGTTCCCCCTGGCGAAGAAGTCCGACGTGACTTCTACGCTGATCCAGTGGTTACTTACCACTGCGGACACTCGTGGTCGTCGTCTCAGCTGTCTTCACTCCGACCGCGGGGGTGAGTTTCGCTCTGGCGTTCTCGCTGGATTCTGTCGCGAGCAGGGCATCTGTCAGTCGTGGACGCTTCCAGAGTCCCCACAGCAGAATGGGGTTGCTGAGCGCCGCATAGGCTTGGTCATGGAGATCGCCCGCACCTCCATGACTCACGCCCGTGCCCCCCATTTTCTGTGGCCTTAGACGGTTCGGTACGCCGCTTACCAGCTGAACCTCTGGCCACGTGTCTCTCGGCCAGAGGTTTCACCGACCAGTCTTTGGACCGGGTCCCCTGGTGCTGCGTCGCGTTTTCGTGTCTGGGGTTGCTTGGCACTTGTTCGCGACACCTCCGCGGACAAGATCTCGCCTCGCGCTGTTCCCCGCGTTTTCCTTGGTTTCCCTGCTGACTCCTCTGACTACACATTTTACCACCCTCCCCTTCACCGGTTCTTTGACTCTCGTGACGTCCGTTTCGACGAGTCCGTCCCCTACTACGTCATGTACCCCTGTCGAGGTCTCCCGGTTCCTCCTCCCCCTCTCTTCCTGACTTCAGATCCCCCTCCTGCTCCCCCGGTACAGCCTCCCCCCCCTGGTCCCGCCCCGTCAGGTGTGTCCCACGCTACCCCTCCCCCCTCGGTAGCCCCTCAGGTGCAGCCTCCTTCCCCGCAGTCCTCCTCCCAGCCTACAGCAGACCCTGAGGGAGCCGGTTTTCGTGGCGAGGACCCTGGAGGTGCTAGCTCTAGAGGTGCTGGAGTTGGAGCAGAGAGCGTACATGTGCGAGGTCCTGGTTTTGGGGGTGCTGGAGTTGGAGCTGAGCCCGTGACTACAGGATACTCTAGTCTTTGGGGAGCTGGTGTTAGTGGAGCTGTCCTTGGGGGTGCTACGATTGGGGGTGCACCCTCTGCAAGACCTGGAGAGCCTGGGACGGACCCTGTTACTTCTGGTGGTGCTGGCTCTGGGGGTGGTGCGACTGGTTCTTTGGAGAGCGTTCCTGGGGCTACCACCGCTCCGGACACTACTCCTCCCCCCCACCCCTACCCGACCCGGCACCAGGCCCGTGTACGCCGTGCCCGTGAGGAGCAGCTAGAGGTGGAGTGAGAGGAGAGAGAGTTGGAGCGGCAGCAGCTGGAGCTACAGCGGTTGGAGGAGCAGCAGCAGCAGCAGCAGCAGCAGCAGCAGCCGCAGCCGCAGCAGCATGAGCAGCAGCAGCCGCCGCAGCTGGAGGAGCAGCGGTCGCAGCCGCAGCAGGAGCAGCAGCAGCTGCCACCTCCTCCTCCTTTCTCTGGTCTTCGGACCCTTGGTATCCCCTCTCCCTCTCCTCCCTCCTCCCCCTCTCCTCCCGTCTCTGGTCCTCCGCTTCCTCCTCCTGACCCCTCCCCAGTTGTTTTCCCTCCTCCTTTGCCCCCGTTGTCCCCTCCTCTTTCTCACACTTGGTCTTCGCGTCGCTCTCCTCGTGCTCGTCACTCGTCTCCTGTTCCCTTCACTGACCTTCGTACTGCCCTGTTTCGTTCTAGTCCGCCTCGTTCGTCTCCTTCTGTACTTCCTTCTCCTCCTGAGTCAGCTCTCACTGCTTCCCTCTCTGCTCCTGTCACAGACTACTACCGCACGTACCGTCCTGTTCTCTCTCGTGTTCTCGCCTCTCTTGTTACCGACCCACGTGCTTCTCTGTCCTCTGTCTCCGCTCTTACTGCCGCAGTCACTGAGTTTGCCTCTACTCACCGCCTTAACTACGCCACCAGTCTTGTGGCTGCTCCTCCTACCAGTCCTCTGGCCATCGGGGTTGAGTCTGCCCTTGGTTGTGACGCCCTAGAGGACAGGCAGTTTGAGCTAGAGTTCCTGGCAGCCGCTTCCCCTCATCTCTGTGCCATGCTGCTCGCCCCTGAGGGAGACCCCGACGCCCTTGACATACCGACTCCTCGCACTTACGCTGAGGCACTGTCAGGGCCTTGGGCCTCTCAGTGGAGAGCTGCCATGGACTCAGAGATGGCCTCCTATAGATCCACATGCACCTACGTCGACGAGGTTCCCCCCCCTGGGGCGAACGTAGTCGATGGCATGTGGATCTTCAGGGTGAAGCGGCCACCGGGATCTCCTCCGGTCTTCAAGGCGCGCTATGTGGCTAGAGGTTTCAGTCAACGCGAGGGAGTTGACTTCTTTCAGACCTTCGCGCCTACCCCGAAGATGACCACTCTTCGGGTGTTACTGCACGTAGCAGCACAGAGAGACTACGAGTTACACTCTCTCGACTTCTCTACTGCTTTCCTTCAGGATAGCCTACACGAGGAGGTCCGGCTGCGTCGTCCCTCTGCCTTCACTGGCACCTTCCCTCCTGGGACCCAGTGGAGGCTGAGGCGACCGGTCTACGGTCTCCGTCAGGCTCCTCGTGAGTGGCACGACACCCTTCGTTCTGCCCTGTCTGACCTCGGTTTCCAGCCGTCTTCTGCCGACCCGTCGCTGTTTGTTCGGCGTGGCTCCACACCTTTCTTTGTACTGGTCTACGTCGACGACCTGGATTTTGCCACTGCTGACACGGTTGCTTTGGCTGACGTGAAGCGCGAACTGCAGAAGAGACACACGTGCACTGACCTTGGTGAGCTGCGCCACTACCTTGGCCTGCAGATCACCAGGGACATAGCCGCTCGCACCATTACACTCTCACAGTCACACATGGTGCAGCAGGTCCTTCAGCGGTTCGACCTTCAGCACTCCACAGTACAGTGCACACCTCTTGCTGTTGACCACAGACTCACTGGACCCTTCTCTGACGAGCCGTTTGAGCCTAGTGGTCCTTACGCAGAGCTTGTGGGCTGCCTCATGTACCTGATGACTTGTACTCGCCCGGACCTCGCCTTCCCTCTTAGCATCCTTGCTCGCTTTGTTGCGCCAGGGAGACACCGTCCAGTTCACTGGACAGCTGCTGTGAGGGTGGCGAAGTACCTAGCGACGACATCAGGCGTGGGGCTGGTTCTTGGAGGGCAGCAGTCTGTTGTACTTACTGGACACTTTGACTCTTCTTACGCTGACGACGTCGAGACTCACAGGTCTACTCAGGGGTACTGCTTCAGCCCGGGCTCTGGAGCTGTTTCGTGGAGGTCCACGCGTTCCTCCTCGGTCTCGACCTCTACTGCTGAGGCCGAGATCTACGCTGGAGCCATGGCTGCACATGAGCTGCGTTGGTTGACCTTCTTGCTCACCGACCTTGGTGAGCGGCCGAGCTCTGCACCGACCTTGTTCACTGACAACAAGGCGTCGATTCTCCTTTGTCGAGAGCCGCGACTGGAGAGCAGAGTGAAGCACATCAATTTCAGGTACTTTCTTCTGCGAGAGTTGCAGAGGCGTGGACAGACTCGCTTCGACTTTGTGGAGTATGTGTGTGATGGGGTGGTTGTTAGACTCATTCACAAGCCATGTGGCTTCCCCACCCATCTCTTCGCCTCTCCCCAACCCCACCAATCCCATGCATGCAGACTCGCGCAGGGGCGTGGCTCCCTGTCCCCGGGAACGATGTGTGTGATGGGGTGGTTGTTAAACTCATTCACAAGCCATGTGGCTTCCCCACCCATCTCTTCGCCTCTCCCCAACCCCACCAATCCCATGCATGCAGACCCGTGCATGGGCGCGGCTCCCTGTCCCGGGGACTTTGTGTGCGTCGGAACATCGGGTGCGGCCAAGTGTGTGTGCCCCAAGGGGACCGTAAAGATCGCACCGAACACATGCCAGGGTGAGTGCTGTGCTGCCCTGCCCTGCCACTGCAGTGTTTTCAGGCCGCTTATTAGAGATACTTTTTAGGCGCCTCAAAAATATGCTGCTACTGCAGTGTTTTGAGGCCGCTTATTAGGGATATTTTCCTTTTCACTTCTGCCTCAGCTTCTGTCGCCATCCATTTTAATCCCCGCACTGTCCCCTAAATAGCCCTCGTCACCCCTTTCCACCACTCTCCACCCCTCTATCCCTCTCTACCCCTCTCCACCCCTCTCCACCCCTGCAGCGCCATCGTGCAAGGGAGTGAAGCGCCCAGCCTCTGCCTGCTGCAGGGCTGACAGCAACGGCATCCCCTTCTGACCCCCTAACGTCCCCTAATTACCCCTTTCCACCCCACCCCACCCCACCCCTGCAGCGCCATCGTGCAAGCGAGTGAAGTGCCCTGCTTCTGCTCGCTGCAGGGCTGACAGCAACGGCATCCCCTTCTGCGCTTGCCCTGCCTCGTTCCCGGGGACAGGGAGCCACGCCCCTGCGCGGGTCTGCATGCATGGGATTGGTGGGGTTGGGGAGAGGCGAAGAGATGGGTGGGAGAGACATGTCGTGTTTGCCGTGCAAGCATGGCTGGCTTGCAACAGCTTGGTACATACGAATTGCGAGAGGGAAGGCAAGGGCTGGGGCAATGCTGGTAGTAAAGGGACTAGAAGGAGAGTGGGACAAAAAGGAGAGTGGGAGTAAGGGAGTGTGGGTGCAACTAAAGGGACATGACACACACGTCAAATCTCACCTGCTCGGCACGTCCTGCCATTGACTAGCACTTGGTCCTGTGGACACAGGCAGGTGGGCTTGCCATCTACAGCAGCACAGGAGGACGTGGAAGGGCAGAGCGCTCGGAAGCAGGGATCCTGGACTGGAGAGGGGGATAGGGTGGTATAAGAGGGAGAGGGGTGAAGGTGAGGAGAGGACTCGAGGCAGGCAGGCAGGTGGGCTTGCCATTGACAGCAGCACAGGTGGACGTGGAAGGGCAGAGCGCTCGTAAGCAGGGATCCTGGACTCAAAAGTCTCAATACCCCTTGAGTTGACTAAAAAGTCTCAAAAGTCGACTCAAAAGTCTCAAGAGTCTCAAAAGTCTCAAAAGTCTTAAGAGTCTCAAAAGTCTCAAGAGTCTCAAAAGTCTTGAAAGTCGCCTTGCAAGCTCACTGTCCGTAGGTCAGCTCGTGTGTACAGTGAAATTTTTAGACGTCTCAAAAATACCCCTTGAGTTGACTCAGATGTCTCAAAAGTCTCACAAGTCGCCTTGCAAGCTCACTGTCCGTAGGGCAGCTCGCCGACAAAGTTGCTCGCGGGGTAGCAGTGGCACGCCCACACGTCGCTGTCCTTGGGAACTCTCAACGCCACACACAGCCCCTTCCCCCTTCCCCCTTCCCCTCATGCCACACATGAGGCACTGCAAGCTCACCCTAACGCAGCTCACCATAAGGCAGCTCGCCGACAAAGTTGCCCGCGGGGTAATAGTTGCATGCCCACACGTCGCTGTCCTCGCCACACGATGCCTTGGCACACCCCACCTGGCGACTGTTGTTCCAGACCACCTGCAGGGCACCCAACACACACACACACACACATCGCCCACGAGGTAAGAGTGAAGTTTTGAGACGTCTCAAAACTTGGCGCACCCCACCTGGCGACTGTTGTTCCACACCACCTGCAGGGCACCCAACACACACACACACACCGCCCACGAGGCATGAGAGTAGACGAGGCATGAGAGTAGACGAGGCATGAGAGTAGACGAGGCATGAGACACGGGGCACATGTGAGTAGCCTTTTGAGGCTATTGTAGAAAGCACTCACCAATCGCTACTCTCAAGCGAGGTGGCTTTTGAGTCGACTCAAAAGCCGCGAGGCACATGTCAGTAGACTTTTGAGGCTGCTGTAGAAAGCAAAACTCGTTCACCCACTCACCAATCGCTACTCTCAAGCGCACTCGTTCACCCACCACTGCACTGCACTGCACTGACTCAAGCACACTCAACCAGTCAACAAATCCACAAACGGGACCCACCTGTGTGTAGTGGCCGCATCTGCCCCAGTCACCACCAATGCAACCACCCGGGAAGATGGCAGGTGGGCGCTTGTACCACTTGCCCTCGCCCACCCACCACTGCACTGCATCGCTGTTCAACGCCCACCCGGCCGGACCCGCGCCTGAGAGGTTCTGCCCCTCGCCCTCCCCCATGCCACCATGCTCCAACCCGCAATTATAGTCGTCGCGGAGAGTGTCGGCCCACGCCTGGGCCCTCTCAGCCACTGTTGGGGAGGGGAGGGAGGTTTGAGAGGAGGGGCATCATACGCCGTCTCTCACTCACCACACCACACCACACCACACCACACCACACCACACCACACCACACCACACCACACCAGCATCTGACTGATCCAACACAGCACTCACCTTCATGATCCACACAGACGACTTTTGAGACGTCTCAGACTCTCAGGTGAGTTCTGTGTTGGTTCAGTCAGTCACTTACAAAGCCACTCACATGCATTAACCACACGAGGGGTATGGCACCCACAGCAGCCCTGGTGGCATTGTGCGGATCCAGATAGATAGTCGGAGTTGGGAACATCATATCAGCAGATAAGCACATCATACTCCCAACGTCACCAGCAGATGAGCAGTGGTTGTTTTCTTACTCAAGCCACAAATCACTCACCTGCATCATCTCACACAAGGGGCGCGGCGCCCACAGCAGCCCTGGCAGCATTGTGTGGGTCGAGATAGTCGGAGTTGGGATAATTATGAGAGGAGCACCTGTTGTTTCCCTCGAGTCAACTCTCAGTCAATACAGTCAACTCTCAAGTCCCTCACCTGCGTCATCCCACTCGAGGGGCACGGCACCCACAGCAGCCCTGGCCGCATTGTGTGGGTCGAGATAGTCGGAGTTGGGATAATCATCAGAGGAGCACTTGTTGATCAGGCGCTTGAAGGGAGCAGGACATTTGCACACCACTGCACCGTCCTGCAATGCGCACTTGGACACGTCTGGGCACTTGACACCGTAGCAGGGGTCTGGTGGGGGAAGGAGATGGGGGAGGAGACAGGGGAAAAGGGCACGGTTTGTACACTAGCAGACCACGCTACACCGTTCTGCACCGCACACTTGGACACGAGGTAACATCATGATCAGGGGATGAAAGGAGGAAGAAAAGGGAGACGCTTCTGGCGTTGTTGCAATCGCCTGGCATTGTTGCAATCGCCTGGCACTGTTGCAATAACCTGGCGTTGTTGCAATCACCTGGCATTGTTGCAATCACCTTTGCACGAGCACTTGGCAACGCCCGCAGAAGCAGCGCAGGTGCAGCCCTTGGGGCACGACACGAAGGAGCAGGGCCCACTGGCCGCAGCAGCAGAAGCAGCAAATCGCGACGATGATTGCGTGGAAGAGGCGCTTCGATACCATCCCGGACCGCTCGCTGCAGCAACTCCCAATGATGATCCCGAGGAGGGCTGAGACGGCTGAAACGGTACGGCGGCGCGACTGCGATGCCATCCGCTGGGACCGCTGGAAGCTTCAGCAACTCGCGATGATGATCCCGAGGAGGGCTGAGACGGCTGAAACGGTGCGGCGGTGCGGGTGCGATGCCATCTGGTGGGACCGCTGGCAGCCGAAGCGCGAGATAGCGTCGACGGACCATTCCAGTGACCGTGGCGGCCGTGTGCTGCGGCGACGGCGGCAGATGCGGAGGGGAGGTGGTGGGCAAGAAGGGTCGCGTGAAGGAGGACTACGAGGAAAGGGAGGAGGACGGATGATGATCCTGATCGCGCTGAGCGTTTGTTGCAAGCCATCGAGTTACTAACTTAGTAGCAGCAGCCGCGATAGTGTAGAATAAAGAGGTAATGTGAAATTGAAAGGAGAAACGGCTCCCCGGTTGAATAACGAAAGAGGAAGAGAAGGAGAGAGATGCGGGGAGACCTTTAATCGTCTAAGAAGATTGCAACCAATGGTGGACGGCTGGTGGATTGCTGGTGAATGTCTGCGTTTACAACTGCCGCGTTTATAGCTGCGTTTATAATTGCGAGCACAGGTGCGGGTTCGAACGCACGGGCAGCTGGTGTTTGAACGAGCCGACTCGGACCAAGCCATGACAATTATGAGCTAGTGAGCTTTGCGCGGATGACCTTGGGGGCTTGCAACACTCAACTCACGAGGAACACGGATTGCGGGTGAAAGGGAAGATGCTCCAATGATTGTCTGCCTGGCTATTGTACTCAAATAATTGTCCGACTAAAGGCTTGCGCATTGGCGCTGGGTTGCGCATTGCGCATTGCACAGATATTTGTGAAGCACGTGTTTGGGGTTGCTTCACGATAGCTTGTCATGAACGATCTTGAAGTCAACGGGGTTACATACACCTGATTGGGTTTGATAATTCGCTCAAACTCGTTTAGGTGTGTATCCACATTCGCATGGCACGTGGAGTGGGTGTGGTCAGCTGCAAAACTGCCATGCTGGACCCAAATATCCGGGGCCAACATCATAAGCATGCAAAATAGTCTGGTAACCCTATGCAATTGTATGCAAAACCGTCATTTCACCAAACTACGCTACAAATTAAAGCCATCTGCATACGCCCAGGTTCCACCAATTGTCACTCCTTCCCAGACCTTTCCCGGTGGCATAGCAATTCTTGTTTTTAACCACCGCATCAAGCTGTCAGATAAGGTCGCTTCAGCCGATGGCAGAGTTATTAGTATCCACTGCAATTATCTCAACGAACAGCTTCGTCTCATAGCACTCTACGCTCCCTCATATTACCTCGAACGCAAAACTTGGTGGGCCCAGACGGTTGTGCCTTTTCTGCAACTTCCATCAGCAAGTGATGGCACGATTCTCACTGGCGATTTCAACAACGTCCTTAGCACGCTTGACAGAAACCGCGACCTGCGTGCATACGAAAAAACAGAAGGTAACCAAGTCAGCGCAATCATGAACGAGGCTGATCTAACAGACACCTACTGCCTGCTCCACCCATCAACCCTGGCCTACTCCTTTTTTGCCCCGGCCCGGTCAGCCCCCCCGCCGCTTCCCCTCCACACAGTTTCTGCCTCCCCATCCTCTCTCCCTCCTGCCTCTCACACGGTTTCCATCTCCACCTTCACACCTCCCCGCCCCCCTTCCCCGCCACCTCCCCCCTCTGCCTCTCGTACGACCACACTTTACATCTCTAAGGCACTCTCCACGAGGGTCACCGCAGCCTCCTACACCTTTGTTCCGGACTCCCTCTCTGACCACGGAGGTGGCCCTCTGTGCTCCATCACTTTCCATAACCCTAACGCGGTCCCCAGACCCTGGCAAATGCCTCAACAAATGCTTCATAAACCCCACGTCAGCTCTCTCATCAATGAGTTTGCCAATTCCATCCCATCCCCGCTTCTCCCGGTTCAGTGGGATTCCTACAAACAGAACCTTTGCAGGAAACTCAAGCTATACTCACGTGAAGAACGCACGCAGGTAACCAAGACTAAGACTCACATGCAAGATGATGCATGCCATCTCCAACTTCACCTCTTGAAGTTCCCGGACGACCGGGCAGCCTCACAAAGACTCACCTTACAACGCCAACGCATCAACTCCTACCTCAGCACCCGCACTGCAGAAATAGCCTTGAAGGCCAAACTGAAGGTGGAGGGCCCCCGGGAAATGGGGGTAGCCTCGCTCCTGGCCGGACTCAATAAAAGGATCAAAGACTCGCAAATCCCCCATCTCCAACTTCCCTCGGGCGTTACGGTCTCTGAGCTCACTCCCATGACCCAGCATTGCACCACTTTTTTCAGCAATCTATACAGCGGCTCCACACCCATAACCCCGTCCTCACAATTCTGGTCTCACATTTACCCTTCGTCTCTTCCCCCCCCCCCTGCACAACCCGCCTTGATACACCCATCGGCCTTCCGGAAGTGGAACGAGCTTTCTCTACCCTGGCGAAGGGCAAAACCTCTGGCATTGATGGATTGCCCGGCGATCTGTTCCGCGCTCACAAAACAGCGCTGGTGCCTGTCATACACAGGCTCTTCACAGGCATTCAATCACACAATTCCCTGCCCCCCTCCATGTACGAAGGCCGAACGATACTACTTCCTAAGAAAGGGAACGCGGCACTAGTCGAAAACCTCCGTCCAATCACTCTGATGAATACGGACTATAAGCTCTTAGCCATCACACTAGCCAATCGCCTCCAACCCGTCCTCCCCCGCCTCATCCACCACGCACAAACCGTGTTCATCAAAGGACGACGCATCGGTGACACCATAAACGACACACTGGACATAATGGACTGGGCCTCAACACAGAAACTCCCGCTGCTAGTTCTCACAGTCGACATTCGCAAAGCCTACGATATGGTGGACCGGGAATTTCTGTTCCGCTGCCTCTCTCACCTCGGCATACCTCCGGGTTTCATCTCATGGGTCCGTCTCCTCCACTCACATACCGTCACTCACGTCTCGGTGAACAATGCGGCAGGACCACGGTTCCAAGTCAGGACTGGGGTACGGCAAGGTTGTCCCCTCGCACCACTCCTATTCATTTGCGTCATAGAAGTGCTGCAACGTCACCTTGCGGCAGCACTGCCCGGCTTTGCCATCTCACCTATCCAGCGACGGCTAATGGCCAGCTACGCCGATGATGTATCAATCTTCCTGAACTCCAACTGCGAACTAGCCACGGCCAGAACCTGCCTCGAAAGCTTCGCGCAATGCTCAGGGGAACACCCAAACTGGGACAAGTGCGCGGTCCTGCCCTTTAACATGCACTCGTCCACTATCACAAACGCCGGACACATACCCATACGCAAGCCAGACGAAGCAGGACGTATTCTGGGGGTCTATGTCGAACAAAACCAACCTGGTCAAACCACATGGGACAAAATCCTCGCTAAGGTCAGATCATCAACTGATTTCCTCTCACGCATACACCCCACAGTCACATGCCGAAACTTGCTCGCCGCCGAACGACTTACCTCGGTGTTCTCCTTCGGAGGCCGCTTTCAACCACCCCCCCCTGTTATTTCGACGCACCTGGACCGAAAAAGCAACCCGGTATATCCCAAAAAAGTTCCTTTACAACAAAAAGAAACATGGGGGTGTAGGAGCCACCGAACCCTCAACGCAACTCAAAGCACTCAACATACAAAGGGCAGCCCGGCGTTTCCTCCCCACACCTTACGAAGACACGGCCCGCGCCTGCGCCACACTACCGTACGGTCTACACTGCTACCTGGCTCATCCCGATATTCTTAAACACCTGCCCAGCACCACTCCACCCAGAGCCCACGCAGAGCTTCAAAGCCTTTTCGACGCAACGGCTAGGATACACTCACCAAGGCTCGAGCCATGGGTATTAATGGCCGAACCTGTCGCATTTAACCGCTTCATTCACAAACCCGACAAGCTACCGTTTGGCCGAAGAAAAGCAGAATTTTTCCTGCTCGACAAACAAATTCGGCTCGATGACCTGCTCATTCCCGCCCCAGGCGGCTCCCGCCAAATGACAGCCAAAGAATTCAGCGCTAAATATCCACCCAAAGAATTCCCCGGTGGACTACGCATTCTGCAAACAATCTACAAAGCAGTTCCGGATGAATGGTGGCCGGTGCTAAACGACTTCACACCCCGACCAGGATATTTGCGACGGGGCGATTGGGCCTTTGAGGCCTCCCCGTCAACAGCAACATCTCAGGTTCTACGCGTCACCCAGGTGCTCGACAACAACACAGCTCGGTTCGATTGCTACGATGTGACGCAGAGGAGACAGGTGGCCAAGACGCCCTCAGGCAGCACGACATTAGCCATGGCGGAGGTCATCACCGTATGCGTCATAGGGAACTGGGTGGCGGGTCCGTTCTGCTCGGGAGCTGCTCTGGGGGTGCGACACGAACTACTGCGGAAACAGCCCTCGCTAGCGGATATTCGAAGAAACCTTTACTCCCAACAGCCTCTTAACCATGTCGAGCGATGGAACGACCACCTTCAAACTCCAATCCGCTCTCTACCCGACTTCACTCACACCTTCCTCACGGACCAGACAAGCCGACAAAAAGACATCCTCTACCGACTTTTCACACGATCCCTTCCATGCGGAGCTAGAATGCCTTTCACTCGTAACCAAAGGATATGCCCCCGATGCCACAACAACGTCATAGAATCTCACACTCACATCTTCTTTGAATGCGGCAACGCTCCCTCCGTCACCTCTGCTCTACAACGCTCTGCTAGCAAACACCTCCGCCTCAATATCCCGACTGAAGCGGTTTTCTTCCCAACAGCAACATCTGCAGGTCAAATGGCGCCCTGGTGTCTGCCAGTCGGCGCAGCCGCAACAACCCTATGGAGAGATCGCTGCTCCCAAATGTACGACAACGTTTCGCACTCCACTCCGGAAACACTTCACCGTATCTTGGCCCTGTTTCTATCCGCCTGCAAACTATACTTTCATCGCCGAAGCAAAATGTCCGAGAAAAGGAAACGCACCTCTGCCAACCGGGTGAAAGCCGCCAACACTCACAAACTACTACAGTTTCTGCCCAATGGTACCCCTCAAGTACACCCAGAACTAAGCGCGTCTTGGCTGCTCAACTACGCGTACCAGCCTGTGAATCAAGAAAAACAGGAATGAGAATGACTAAGTGAAAGTTGGGTACAAGAAGCAAACCCTAGAAAACTGTACCCCATATGTGCTACCCCACTCTAGCCTACAGTAGCTATGTCATATAAATCTGACACACCCCCATAGGCAAAGTGGGGGAGAACAAGGGGTCACAAGACCAGTCAAGCAAAGCAAAGCAAAAAACAAGCTCAGGGTGGATCACAAAGTCACCACACATTCCGAGCACAAGTTCAAGGCCACAAGGCCAGTTCACAAGCAGGAGTACACATATATATAAAAAAGGCTAGACAAACAAGAGCAGGTATATATATATGTAACAGTACAAGCAAGATCAAGAGGTGAGCAAGTGAGGCAAGGTAGGCACAAGGCCCAGCTGAGTACAGAAGCGCTGATGGTCACAAGGCGCAAGTGCCTTGGTGAAGATATCAGCAGTGTTGGCCTCAGAGGCCACGTACGCAAGACGCAGCTGACCACGCTGCTGCAGCTCACGAGCAAGAAAGTAGCGGAGAGCAATGTGCTTCGTTCTGTGCTCCAGTCGCTGCTCCCGACACAAGGCCAGCATGGCCTTGTTGTCTACGTACAGCACTGGAGGAGAACGAGGCAACTCTCCGAGGTCAGTCAGCAGGTAGGTGAGCCAGCGAAGCTCCTGTGCAGCCATGGCTCCTGCGTAGATCTCAGCCTCACAACTGGAGCCGAGAACAGAAGACGAGCGAGTAGCCCGCCACGAAACAGAGCCGGAACCAAGGCTGAAGGTGTAACCCTGCGACGACCGCTGCGTAGCCTGGTCGTCAGCCCAAGAAGCGTCTGCGTGCCCAGTAAGGACCACTGGACTCTGCCCTCCAAGCACAAGCCCCATGCCCGACGTACTGCACAAGTAGCGCAACACCCTCTTCGCTGCAGCCATGTGCTCCGGTCTGTGTCTCCCAGGAGCAACATAGCGTGCAAGAATGCTAAGAGGGTATGCAAGGTCAGGTCGTGTGCAGGTCATCAGGTACATGAGGCAGCCAACAAGCTCTGGATACGGGCCACTCGACTCTACGGACTCATCCGAAGGCAGAGCTGAGAGCGAGTGGCGAGTAGGCAGAGGAGTGGCCTGAGGCGAGGAGTACGTGAAGCCGAAGCGCTGAAGGACCTGCTGCACCATGTGTGACTGAGTCAGGGTAATGGTGCGGCGTGCTCTGTCCCGAGTGATCTGCAAGCCAAGGTAGCTGCGCAGTTCACCCAGGTCAGTGCACGTGTGTCTCTTCTGCAGCTCGGACTTCACGTGGGCTAGTCCAGCAGTGTCAGCTGTGGCAAAGACCAAGTCGTCGACGTACACGAGGATGTAGAACGGCGGCAAAGAAGTGTCGGTGCGCAGAAACAGCGACGGGTCGGCAGTAGAGGGAGCAAACCCAAGAGCCGCAAGTGTAGTCCTCAGTGTGTCGTGCCACTCACGCGGTGCCTGGCGGAGACCGTAGACTGGCCGCCGTAGGCTCCACTGGGTGCCAGGAGGAAAAGACCCAGTGAAGCCAGGTGGGCGACGCAGCTAGATCTCCTCGTGCAGGCTGCCCTGCAAGAAAGCAGTGCTGAAGTCAAGAGAGTGTAGCTCGTAGTCACGGTGAGCAGCTACGTGCAGCAGTACCCGAAGAGTGGTCATCTTCGGGGTGGGAGAGAAGGTCTGAAAGTAGTCAACTCCCTGCCGCTGACTGAAGCCACGAGCCACGTAACGCGCCTTGAAGACAGGCGGAGAACCCGGCGGTCGCTTCACCCTGAAAATCCACATGCCACTGACGATGTTCGCCCCAGGAGGGGGAACAGCGTCAACGTAGGTGCCTGTGGACTTCCAGGAAGCCATCTCTGCGTCCATAGCTGCCTGCCACTGAGAGGAGTAGGGACCCTCTATCGCCTCCGCGTAAGAGCGCGGAGTCGGGATGTCAAGTGCATCCGGGTCTCCCTCAGGGGTAAGCAGTACGGACACGAGATGAGGTGAAGCAGCGGCCAAGCACTGGAACTCCTCCTGCCTGTCCTCAAGGACGTCCGTGCCAAGGGCACACTCACCCCCGACGGACGGAGGACAGACAGACTCAGACTCAGCAACAAGACTGGCGACGTAGTCTAGGCGACAGCGAGCAGCAAAGTCGACGAGCTCAGCAACTAGAGCAGACGCAGCAGTGGACTCAAAGGAAGGGTCAGTGACAACCGTAGCAAGGAGACGCGTGACAGTAGGACTGGCAGCGCGAAGAGAGTCCGACTCCGGGTCGGCAAGAGTAGGAAGAGAAGACTCAGGAGGAGAAGGCAAAGGGGCACGCAGAGGAGCAGTGGACGGACGCAGAGACATCCGGTGCGTGCCAGGGACAGGAGGAGGACGCTGACGCGAACCGCGACCACTAGTGCGAGCAGCACGGACAGGCGACGCAGGGCGAGACGCAGGCTCACGACGCTCAGCAAGACCTCCAGTAGGACCAGTGTAGGGAGACGGAGCAGGCAGTGGGGAGGCCGGCTGTAACTGTAACTGCGACGGGACAGGCTGTGGACACTCTAAGGGAGGAGGAGGACCAGTAGAAGGCGGGAGACCAAGAACCTGCTGAAGGAGCGGAACGAAGTACGGCCGAGGCCACGCGGCGACTCCAGACACAGGAGGGACAGCACCAGCACCCGCAGGGGCAGCACCAGCACCAGTAGCAGCTCCAGCTCCAGAACCCCCAGCAGCACCAGTAGTACCCCCAGCAGGACTGCCTCCAGGACCGACAGCAGTAGCCTCCGCGCCAACACCCGCAGCAACTCCAGCTCCAGAAGTACCCGCAGGTCCAGCAGCTCCAGAACTCCCAGTACGAGCACCTCCGGGACCCGTGGCACCAGCTCCCTCAGAAGCAACAGAACCTCCAGTACCCGCAGCACCTCCAGCTCCAGCAGCTCCAGCAGCTCGCCTCCAGCGCCGGGCAAACCACTCACGCAGCTCCTGGGGAGAGAGTGGCTCTCGGCGAGAGGGAGCACCCGGTGAACCGCCAGGCACAGCACCACCAGGCGTAGCACCCCCAGGCTCAGCACCTCCAGGCGTAGTACCCCCAGGCTCAGCACCCCCAGACGCAGCACCCCCAGGCTCAGCACCTCCAGGCGTAGTACCCCCAGGCTCAGCACCCCCAGTCGTAGTACCCCCAGACTCAGCACCCCCAGGCTCAGCACCCCCAGGCTCAGCACCACCAGGCGTAGCACCCATACGCTCAGCACCCCTAGAGTCAGCACCCCCAGGCTCAGCACCCTCAGCAGCACCAGAGTCACCAGCGACCTCGACAGGCTCAACAGCGTCTACCTGGGACACACCTGAAGGGGCAGGACCCTGAGGGGGGAGGGGGTCTACCGGGGGGGGACCTGGTACAAGGAAGAGCGGTGGCGGGGGGAGGGACGGAGTGCGGTAGGGGAAGAGGCGGTAGTAGGGGACCGACTCGTCGAACGTGACGTCCTGGGAGGACAGAACACGGCGAGAGGTGGGGTGGTAGAACTGCCACCCTGGGGCGTTAGGGGGGAAACCCAGGAAGACGCAAGGAGCAGCACGAGGGGACAGCTTGTCCGCAGACAAGTCGCGGACAAACGCCCGAGATCCCCAGACACGGAACGCAGACGCATCGCCAACCTTCCCCGTCCACAGCAAAGCTGGGGAGGTCTCCGGCATGGAGACCCTGGGCTGAAGGTTGATTTGATGCGCCGCGTACCGAACCGCAAACGGCCACAGAAAATGGGGGGCAGCCGCATGCATCATGGACGTACGGGCGACGTCCATGACCATGCCAATGCGGCGCTCAGCAATCCCATTTTGCTGTGGAGAGTCCGGAAGCGTGAAGGTCTGGCGGATGCCTCGTGCACGACAGTAGGCTCGCAGAAGGCCAGAGGAGAACTCTCCGCCTCTGTCAGAGTGCAGACGCAGAACAGGAAAGTCCGAGCCAAAGCTCCGCCTGAGCTGGAGACGAGCTGCGCGGATCCAGTCGATCAACACCTCAGTGACATCACCCTTGCTGCGCAAGGGGAAGACTGTGGTGTAACGCGAGTAGTCGTCAACCACCAGCAGGAAGTAGCGCTCGTGACCCTGTCCACGGACGCGGGCCGGGCCCCACACGTCCATGTGAAGCGTCTGCAGCGGGGCCTCTGTCGGAGGAAACTGGGAGGAGTGAGGGGTAGCCCGCTGCCGTCCCTCGACACAGGGGACGCAGGTAGGGCCTGGCCCCGGAGGAAGGGGAGGGAGGGACCGGGGAAGACCAGAGACAAGGACACGGGAGGCCATGCTCCGGAGACGAAGCAGGGAGGGGTGGCCAAGGCGGTGGTGCCAGAGGAGAGTCTCGTGAGACAGGAGGCGACACGAGCAGGGGGCAGACTCAGGACCAGACCTGGACGCTGCAGCAAACACCTGACCCGACGCAGCTACCTGACCAGACGCAGGGACTGGAGGAGACGCAGTGGTCAGTGTGTACAGGCTCGACCCTGGCCGACGTGTAAACGTGGCCAGGTGGCGGCCTGTCCGAGCGTCCGTGCAGTGGGTCACCCGCTGACTCGCAGGGGTGAACTGGTGAACCCCCGCATCCTGTAGGTCAGCACCACTCACCAAGTTCGTAGAGAACGAGGGGAGGTAGAGACCAGACAGGGTGCCAGAGGGGGCCGCCGGACACGGGAGGACAGTGGAGAAGTGAGCAAGGACAGGACCCCCAGAGGGGTCTGCCAGGGAGACCGCAACTGGCCGGCCAAGCGGCGTGAGTGTGGTGCGGTCTCGAAAGAAGGAGCGAGAAGCCCCCGAGTCAAGTGTGAAGGTGTGGGAGGCCGAAGCCGACGCAGAACCTGAGAGAGCAGACTCACCAGCACCT